TTAAACATAAACTTCTCCACTTGTTCAAGACCAAAGACTAACCAACTGGTTTAATCATTCTAGTTCACATTACGAAATAGTTTTTTTTTGGGTTCAATTATCTTATTAGTGTGATACATTATAAGTAAGGCAATACGCCATTTGGCAAAATAAATCAGAATTCAATATTTTGTTTTCTCTCTCGTAATCACCATTATCGTTTATGCGAAAACGCCGGAGGGACGATCATTATTATCCCCGTCGGGCCTACGACAACATCACGAGAAAGAAATATGATAGTTTAAGCTTAACCAGCGCTAGTTATAAAGACCTTGGAAGATGCACGTGGCAACTCATTATCACTAGCATCAACGATCAACATTAATTCGAGTTGCACAATGAAAGGATCCTACCGTAAACTGGAAATGTGGGTGGCAACGACTCTAATTCCAACGGTTATATGTGCCACAATCACTTTACAAACGGAAGGATCCACAAAGAATTCTTAAAAAGACTATTTTTCTAATTTTCAAAGATTTGGCCTATTCTTTTAATATAATATTTGGCCTATTTCATTAATTCTCCCAAATAAAAAAATTTATAACAACTAACTACCATTTACGGTCTTAACCTGGTTAAATAAAATCAGGAAAAATGTATCTTTTATAAGATAACAATGTATCAAAATAAAACCGGATTTAAAATATAATGTGAACTATTCAACCATAAAAAAAAGAAGGTGAAATACCATGTCCATTAACAAATCCTAAGGATTTTTTCAAACAAACAAAAAAAAAACCTATGGATCATGACTTGATTGTAAGGATAATTAAAGAAGAAGATTTATTAAAGAGAGATTGTTATCAGCGGAGGTTGGGTTTGTGTAGCTAGCGTCAGCGATCCACGAGAGTTATGGAACAGGAAATCTGAACCGTCCATTAAAACAGAGACATCCGACGTGGCAATTAACTGTATTTAAAATCCGGTTTTGCGTCCGAATCCTTTTTGTTCTGATTCGAAAGAAGAAAAAAAACTCAGTGCTTTGCTTTCGAGCCTTTGGATAGCGAGCGAGGTGAGATTCCAAAGTCTCGTCCTTTGAACACTGTGTGAGCTTCTTCTCTTTGATTTTAGCCGTTGAATCTTTGGAGCTTCGTTTGAATTCTCATGTGGGTTTTTGTTTTTGGGTTTGAATGTTATTTTGCTTCTTCAAGTCGCGTTTAGGGTTTCTTTTTCCACCTTCTCTCTGATTTGCGAATCTGTTGTGTTAGTTTAGCTTTGATAATTTGAGGCTCGAGAGAGAGAGACTAACCTCGATTTGTCTTGGATTTCTCTGAGTGGTTGTGGGTTTAGAGTATTGGTTTGGATCTAAATCTACGTTTTTTTCCAGAAAGTATTCGAATTTAGGACTGAATCATTAATAACTTCGAAAATTGAAACCCTTTTTTTCATTCAGTTGTGTAGAAAGATGGAATTTTTACATGTTGCTAAGCGTTTGTTCCGTATTCTTGCACATTCAGTTTCCTTGTTCTTGTGTTGCTATGAGTTTGGAATTCTCGATTGATATGTTTTTCACAGCCTTTCGGTGTTTCTTGTTTTAGAGATCTACTCAACGATGGGGGAAGACGATACAAAAGTCGCTGTGGAGCCATCCGCAAATGGGACTAGTTCTCTTCAAAAGGCACCAGATGCAGAAGCGCAGGGTGGCGAGGAAACACATGAACTTAAGAAAGATGAGGATGCTGGACCGGAGAAGATGGAGATAGATGCTGAGATCAAGCAACATGAAGAAAAAGATAAGAAACTTGAGACCGAGAAAACAGACGACAAGGCTGATCAAATGGATGAAGACAACAAGGTCAAAGCTGATGATGGTGTTTCTGGAGAGGAAGATACGGTAATGAAGGAGAACATGGAGTCTGATGACAAGAAAGACATCAAAGAAGGTGCTGGAAATCAAGGGATGGCCAAGGTAGCTACTACTCAAGAGAGAACTGAGAAAGAATCAGAGGATGGAGGGAAACTAAACGGAGACAAGCAAGGGAATAAGGAAGACATCAAAGAGGAAGACAAGGTTGTCGGTGGAGATGAGGGTGAAAATAACAAAGACGAAGAGCCAAAGGAAAAGAATGAGATCCAACTGGCTGAAGACGGGAAAGAGAAGGAAACAAACAAACAAGGGGAGGAAGAAGAAGAGCATGTGGAGGCAGACGCTGAGCCGAAAGTGGAAGATGAAAAAGCAGAGAGTAAAGGCGGCAATGAAAATGAGATAGATGAAAGCAAGGATGAGAAGGAAGATGAAAAAGAAGAGACCATGGATGATAAGGAAGATGAAAAAGAAGAGAGCAATCATGACAAAAATGAAGATACCAACAAGTCTAACAAGCGAGGGAAAGGGAAGACTGACAAGGTTCGTGGAAATACAAAGAGTGAGGAAGATAAGAAGGATATTGAACCTAGGACTCCTTTCTCTGATCGCCCTGTCCGCGAGCGGAAATCTGTTGAAAGGCTTGTCGCACTGGTTGATAAAGATTCTTCAAAGGAATTCCAAGTCGCAAAGGTTTGCCAATACTTTCCTATGTTTGATCTCTACAGTGTTTCATTTGTTATATCTTTTTAAGATTCACTTTTGGATATTGCAGGGAAAAGGAACACCTCTCAAAGATATTCCCAATGGTATGTTCATATTCTAAATATCTATCTTTAAATCTCCTCCCAGGCTATTCTGTCATTGTGTGGAACAGTTTTTTTTTTTTTACTTAGCTTTTCCCAGGGTTATTGCTAGAGCACATAGTCCTTTTCCTAAACTGGATTTTATAAGTCGTATCTTTCTCCGCAGTTGCGTACAAGTTATCCAGGAAGAAGTCTGATGAAGTTCTCAAGTTGCTACACACGATTCTATTTGGTGGGAGAAGAGGAAAAGTGAGCATCTCTTTGTTCCCTTATATGTTCTGCCACCTCGTTCATTAGAAGATTCTTTTGAGTTGCATCCATTGCTATCCTTACGATTACAGAGTGACTGCTAATCATGTTTGTATGTGCCTCGATTTTCTTGCTTTAACAGGCTGCTCAGATCAGGACAAATATATTGCGCTTTTCTGGTTACACCTGGCAAGGAGATGAGGTGGGCAACATAACACATCAAGACTGTTCCACATATGCTTGTCTCATTTTCGTTGCATGATTTTTTTCAAATTATATTTGGC